AAGAGCAGTTACCCACAAACCCCTGCACTAAGAACAGTTTGGGCTAAAACAAGTGCAAAGACCCTGGGAATGAATAGGGATCTAAAGAGTGAAGACAAGTGAAGGAGAAGTGGGAGTGCTGCTAGGCTGGTCCCCTGGCATTCTGCTGTTGCTACCCCTACTACAAGCTGGTCTTTTGTCCTGATGGGGAAAGTGCAGGTGACGCGGTGCAGCATGGAGCAAGAAAGATCAGTGCAGGAGAAGTCAGGGAGCCTTCTGGGATTGGCACGGAGAGGGCAAGGCCAGGGCTGGACCTCACTCAGACCCTCTCCCAAGTCTGGACAGATGTGGAGGAATAGGAGTACAGCTTGGCTGCCTCCCAAAGAGCCAGGCCTTGTCCCACTGCCCCTTACCAACCTCTACATAGTGTTTCTCTTCCTAGACCTGACCTCGCAGGCAGGGCTTGTAGGGGGAAAGCAATATACAGGGGCTGACCACTGCCCACCGTCCCAGTTGGACACCTGTCCACAGACAGCCACCTGTCTTCCATCCCCAAACTCTGCACCTGGCTCTTCTTCCCACCTGTAAGTGTCACCTCCCAGAGCCACTTCCTAAAAACGTCTTGTGGCTACCCAGCCTAATCCCTTTGTCTTCACATGGCCTTTTTGTTAATGTGTCTTCTGCCTTTTATTAGGACATTTGTCAAGCTGGGCGTGGTGGCATATGGCAGTAATACCTACACTCTGGGAGGCTAAGACAGGTTTGAGCCCAGGAAGGGCAAGTTAGTGCTTGATGACACCCTGTAAAATTTTTAAAAATTAAAAAGGGCTGGGGGGCATGGTGGTGCACACCTAAAATAATCAGCATTTGGGAAGTTGAGGCAGGATGATCACTAGGAGTTCCGGGCCAGCCAGAACTGCATAACAGCAAGAGCTTGTAAAAGGAAGAGGAGGTAGGAAAAGAGGGTGTGGTTATACACACCTATCAACCCAGCACTAGAGCCTGAGGCAGGAGGAATGTGGAGTCTAGCCTGAGCTACACAGTTTGAGACCAGCCTGGACTAAGTAGTGAAAGAAATCCTGTCTCAAAAAACAGAAAGTGTCAGGGCATAGTGGTGCATGCACATATCTGTAATCCCAGCATTCAGGAAGCTGAGGCAGAAGGATTGCCACAAATTCAAGGCCAGCCTAAGTTACATAGACACTGTCTCAAACCAAAACAGGGCTGGGGATTTAACTCAGTGATTCCCACCATCTGCCTTGCAAGTGCAAGGTCCCAAGTTCGATCCCTGGTACCAAAATACAAAACAAAACAAAGTTGCTAGACATGGCAGTTCACACGCAGGAGTCTGAGGCAGGAGGATCACTGTGAGTTTGAGGACAGCCTGGGCTACATAGTGTGTTCAAGTCCAGCCTTAAGTATATAGCAAAATCTTGTCTCAAAGAAAAAAAAAATGGGGGGGGCATGAAATGAATTAAGATGTACCATGCACTAACTCACCACAATGAATATAATCACTATGTAATGCAAACATGTACTAATAAAAAAAATTTCACAAGCTGGGGATTTAGCTCAGTGGTGTGCTGCGCCTGCCTCAAGCACAAGGTCTTGAGTTTGATCTCTGGTAATGGATGGGAGGGGGGTTGAAAGAAGAGGAGATACATAGGGAGAACACATGTGAAGATAAAAGCAATTATATATAGAAGCAATTATATGTGTACAAACCAGGAAATGTCAAGGATTGCTAGGAGTCACCAGAAGCCAGCAGACAGGATAGAGTCCCTCAGAACTTCCAGAACAGATGAGGCTGGTGGTGCACACCTGTAATCCCATCAGGCTGAGTCAGGAGAATTACATATTTAAGTCCCATCAATAACAGTGAATTAGCCAGACCTTGTCTCAAAAAAGTAAAAAGGGTTAGGGGAAGTAGGTCAGTGGTAGAATGTTTGCCTAGTGTGCCTGAGGCCCTGAGTTCAATCCCCATACCAGGGAGAAAAGTAGTTAGTAGCAGTAGAGAAATTCATAAAGTTACACAACTACCACCTCTGTCTGGTGTCAAAACATTTTCATAGCCACAAAGGGAAGTCCCTTAACCATCAACTACTTCCTCTCAACCACTAACCACTAATCTGCTTCTGATCCTATGGACTTTGTTTTTTGTGCCTTTGCTTTTCATTTGTTTGGTTTTCAGTACTGGGACTCATCCCAGGTATGTCATATGCTAAACAAGCACTCTGCCTCAGAACACTACACTCCAAACCTGGATCTGTGGACTTTATTTTTCAGTAACTACTGGGTATTGACCCCAGAGTCTCACATTGACCTAAATGCCCAGCACTCACCCCCACACACACTTTTCTCTTTTTTTCTTCTTCTTTTTTTTTTTTTTTAATGTCAGAGTCTTGCTAAATTGCCCAGGCTAGAATCCCATTTGCTGTCTACCTTTCCTAGCCTTACAGAGTGCTGGGATTATAGGCATGTGCTAACTACCATGTCTGGCTTGGTTCTATGGGCTTTATAACTATTTTTTTTCTGGTTCTGATTATTGAACCCAGGCCATTCTCACTAAGCTATATTCACAGCCCTTTTTATTTTTATTTATTTATTTAGGTACCCAGGATCAAACTTAGGATCTTGCACTTACAAGGCAGGTGCAGTGCCACTGAGCTAAATCCCCAGCCCAGCCCTTTTTATTTTTGAGAAAAGGTCTCCTTAAGTCATTATGTTGCTCAGGCTGAGATTGATTTTTTTTTTTTTTCTTGAGACAGGTTCTGGAACTCACAGTGAACTTCCTGCCTCAGCCTCCCAAGGGCTGGGATTACAAGTGTACGCCACCATGCCTGGCTAGGCTCAAGTTTGTTTCGTTTTGTTTTGGGGTTTGAGTTTTTTGGGGGTTTTGGGGTTTTTTTTATTTGGTTGGTTTGGTTTGGTTTTTTTGTTGGTTTTTTTTTGTTTTTGTTTTTTTGTTTTGGTCCTGGGGATTGAACTCAGGAACTTACACTTGCAAAGCAGGCAGAGAACCACTGAGCTAAATCCCCAGCCCTAGACTCAAGTTTTTAGTCCTCTTCTCCAGCCTCCCAGAGTATTGAGATTACTACCATGCCCAGCCCTTAATTTTTTTTTTTCTTTTTGGTACCTGGGATTGAACTGGGGCCCTTGTGCTTGCACCTGACGGAAACTTCTTAATCTTTTGATGGACACTTGCAATATGCAGATATATGTATAGCAAGCACTTCACATAACCAGTTCTGGTAGCAAAAAATGAACATACCAAAAAAAAAAAAAAAAAAACATGCCTGTCTCACAAGCCCTTCATGCTGCTCATAGCTGTCATACTGTCATGCTGACTTCACAGATAAACTTCGCTTTTTCATGGAAATACAAGGGACTTTAACAGTCTGGCTTCTACCCGTCAGCTAATATCCACAGTGGTATATGGCCCTTCTGCTTTCCCTGTCCTTGATTAGGATCTCATTATATGAAAACTCTACATGTTTTGTTTGGGGTTTTTTTACATATTTTTTTAAAACAGGTCTCCCTTTGTTGCCCAGGCTGGCCTTGCACTCCTGGGTTTAAATGATTCCCCTGCCTTGCCTCCCAAGTAGTTGGGATTACAGGTGTGCCCAAGCTGCATTTGACTGCACTTGGGTCTCCCCGCTTCTGTGCTGCTATCCCCACAGATCTTGCCATGAGGAGTTCTGTGCACAGCTCTTGGTTGTTTCTTCAGTTGCCATAAAAGCTGGCAGGTTGTAGCAGAGGTTGGCTTATTCCAGTGCCAGCAAGGGCTGAATGCCAGGGTGAGGGCAAGTGTAGGGTGGGACACCAAGGAGGGACATAGGTGCAGTTCAGGTCTGGAAGGCAAAAGGCCTCCCGGTTGCTCTTGGGAACTGCCATCATTTCTCTAATAATTCCCTGTGGCACCTGTAACTCATTACCACAAACTTGGTGGCTTAAAATGGAAATTTATAGCTGGGCATGGTGGCACACACCTGTAATCCCAGCACTCAGGAGGCTGAGGCAGGAGGATTGCAGTGAGTTCGAGACCAGCCTGGGCTACATAGTGAGTTACAGGTCAGTCTCAACTCACAGTGAAACCCTGTCTCAAAAAAAACAAATTATTTTCTTACAGTTCTGAAGGCCAGGAGAGGACCCTTCGTGCCTCTACCAGCTTCTGCTGGCTGTAGGTTTCCTGGGCTCATGGTTGTATCTTGCCAACTTTCAAGACCAAAGTCTTCAAACCTGTGCTCTGACTTAAAATTGCCTTTTTCAGCATATCACTACTATGAACTTAAATTGTCCCATCATATGTGAGTGTCCGGAAATGAGACCTTCGGGGGATAATCGTGGCTTAGATGAGATCATGAGAAGAGGGCCCCATGATGAGATGCGTGCTTTTATAGGGAGAGACACTTGAGAGCTCTCACCACCCGCCCGACAAATCAAGAGAAGACTCTGAAAGCAAAGCAAAGCTAACTTGCCACTGCCTTGATTTTAGACTTTCCCCTCCAGAACTATGAGTGTATATTTTCTTTTTTCTTTCTTTCTTTTTTTTTTGGAGGGGGGGTATGGGAATAGAACTCAGGACCTTGCACATGCAAGACGGGCAGCAGAACCACTGGGCTAAATCCCCCGCCCTGAGTGTATATTTTCTTTGCTTCTCTAACACAAGAACGAACGTTATTGCTTCTCCGCCTTTTGGCTACGATCAAGTGTAGTATCTAATAAAATAATGAATGTTGGAGCAAGGATAGTACAAACCTATAATTTCACCACTCTTTTTTATTTTATTTATTTATTTATTTTGATACAGGGTATCACTGTGCAGTCCAAGCTGGCCTCATACTTGTGGCAATCCTCTTGCCTCAGCCTCCCAAGTGCTGGGATTACAGGTATGCACCACCCCACCAGCCTTGGCATTAGTCTTGCCTTCCCAAAGAGAACCATATTTCAGAGTTTTTTGAGACAGGGTCTCACTATGTAGTTGAGACTGACCTGGAACTCACTATGTAGCCCAGGCTGGTCTCAAACTCACAGCGATCCTCCTGCCTCAGCCTCCTGAGCGCTGGGATTACAAGCGTGCACCACGACGCCTGGCAAGGTATGGTTTCAATGACACAAAATACTCATAACATGAAAATATACAGCTTTCTGCTTAGCTGTTCTGGGACAGCATGACTCTGAAGCCCATTTCCTCAAGGACTGGAAGGGACTCATGGCTGTGTGGTTTAACCAGCAGGTGCAAAAGGTCCACAGGCAGAGGTCCTGGCAGGCAAGAGTACTGCATTGCCTTGCAGCCTGACCCAATTACCTATTGCATGCCACCCCAGGTGCAGTACTATACCAAGATCCCAGCTGCCAGAGGCTTCAGTCTGGAGGAGCTGCAGGTGATAGCATTCACAAGAAGGTGGTCTGGGATCACTGGCATCTTGGTGGACCCAAGGAGGCAGAGCAAACCCACTGAGTCCCATAGGCCAATATGCAGCCACTCCAATCTTATCCTCTAATCAAGGATGGGAGACAGCTGTTCTGAGGAAGCCAAATTAGCCATTCCACTGATGCCCATCCAGAACAACTGCAAGAAGGAGAAGGTCAGGGTCATCACAGAGGAAGAGAACTTCAAGGTCTTCACCAGTCTCACATGTCCTGTGCCAGTGCCAGACTCCAGCAGACAGAAAGATGCAAGGAAACTGGAGGACATTGAGAAGAAAAAATAAAGCACTGTTGGGGGTCTTCTAATAAATGCTCAGAAAAGCTGAAAAAATGAAAACACAAATTTATAGACATAGAAGATAGGAGCCGGACGTAGTGGTGCACGCCTGTAATCCCAGCACTTGGGAGGCTGAGGCAGGAGGATCACTGCGAGTTTGAGACCAGCCTGAGCTACATAGCAAGACTGACTCAAAATTAAAAAAATGAAAAGGGATGAGGTAGCTCTAGGTTCAAACTCCAATGCCATGAATAAAATTTTAAAATAATTATTTTTATCTGGCAAGAGGATTGCAAGCTCAAGGCCAGCCTGATCATTTTTGTGAGATTGAGTCTCCCAATAAAAAATTAAATACAGGTGGAGGGCCAGCAATTTAGCTCAGTGGCACTGCACCTGCTTCACAAGTGCAAGGTCCTTCCTGAGTTCAATCCCTAGTACCGCAAAAAAAACAAACCAGGTGGAGGGCTGGGGATTTAGCTCAGTGGTTCTGTCTCACAAGCGCAAGGACCCAAGTTCGAGCCCCAGTACCAAAAAACAACAACAACAACAAACCAGGTGGAGATGTAGTTCAGTGGTAGAGGGCTTATCTAGCTTGTATGAGGTCCTGGGTTCAGGTCCCAGTACAAGAGAGTAAGGAAGAGAGAAAAGGGGCAGGTAAGGGAGGGGAGGGAGAGGAGGAGGAAAAAATGAAGCAAGGAGGGTGGCTCATATTTATAAGCATTCGGGGAGGCTGAGGCAGAAGGATCGCAAGTTTGAACTAAAGCCCAGCCTGGGAAACTTAACGAGACCCTGCCTCAGAAAATTAAAAAAAGGGCTGGGGATAAACTTAGTGTAAAGACCCTAGGTTCAATTCCCAGTACTGGGGTGGGGAGGGACTGCTTTTGCTGGGCATGGTGCACTTAGGAAGCTGGGTCAGGTATATCACAAGGGGTTCAAGGCCAGCCTGGACTACATAGCGAGACCCTGTCTCAAAACAAAGGTTACTTTTGTGTTATGTGAACTTTAATTTTTTTTTCGGGGGGGGGTCTCTTTAAATTGCCCAATCAGGCCTCAAACTTGGATCCTTCTGCCTGCCTCAGCCTCCCATTGGGATTACTGTTGTAGGCCACCATGTTGACCACCTCTGTGTGTATAGTACTAGGGAATGAACCCAGGGCTTCATGCACGCTAGGCACATGCTCCCCCACTGAGCTACACTCCCAGCAACTTACCTTGTTTTTTTGGTACCAGGGATCCAACTTAGGGCCTTGCTTTTTTTAGACAGGGGCAGGGCCCACGGATCCATCAAAGGAAAGGACCTGAGGAGACTGGGATAGTCCCTGGCAGGACCAAACCATCTGTCGGGGCCTATCTGGGACAGTGACAGGAGGATGTGAGCCAAGTATGCTAAGGAGCTAGGAAGCTTCCAGATGGGGCCATGAGGAATCCCACCTTTGTCTAGGAAAAATGCTTCCTAGGGAAAGAGAAAAGTTTGTCACCTTATTCAACACAAGAGTCTGGCAGAGAGCTTGCAGAGGGAGGGGCTGAGGTCAGGTAGCCTACAGAGGCATGGTGACATAGTGACATTCCTCACAACAGCTTGCCATCAGGTGTCCAGCAAGAAGGCAGCCAGAAGCATAGGGCTGGTGGCTCGTTCTGGCCAAGAAGCACAACTCACATGAGACATTCCTGAGTGAGAAACCCTGAACAATCTGACCAGACAGAGGGACCAAGACCTCCACTGTCTGGTTCTACTTCTATGGGAGGCCCAATACCCAATCGTGGTATTAGGTTTGTGGGGACAGAATCGAAACAGGGTCCCATGATATAGGAGTGAGCGAGGGCTCTCAAAAAGGATGAAGAGGACGGAGGTGAGTTTACACTCCAGCACTGAACTGAAACTGAGTGAGCCAGTGAGTAGAAAAACCGTGGATTGGGCTGGGGATTTAGCTCAGTGGTTCTGGCAACTGCCTCACAAGTGCGAGGACCTGAGTTTGATCCCCAGTATCAAAAGAAAACACATGGATGGGAAATGCCCAGCCTGGGGCATCTGGAGGAAGGCAGAGGCCCTGCGACAGGCATTTGTCCTGGCCTGGGTCCACAGGGCTGCCTGAAGCTTCTCGTGGTTTCCCTTGCAGGTATTTCTGGTCCCACCTCCTTTTGTTTACCCGTAATCTCTCTGGCTGCTGTTACTTCTCTGGTAAACCCTGAAGTCACCTCGCCTGGCCCATCCATTGCTTCTAGCACTTCTGTAGGCTTCCACAGGGCCCAGGCTGGGCCTCTCCATCAGCCCTTCCATAAATCGCAGCCTCTGTAGAGTGTAAGCTGTCTCTCCTCTCGTTTCTCTCTTTCCCTCCTTTCCTTGCAAGGACCCCCTTCAGCCTCCACTCCCTCTGCCTGGTGTGTGGACATAAAAACACAAGTCCTGGGCTCTACCCTGGACAGAGCTGCCACAGTGGGTGCTCCCGCATGAGAAGCTGGCCTGGCAGTGACAGGGACAGAGGGAACTTGGAGCTGTCTGTCCTCTGACATACGTCTTCAGAGGGTTCCTGCCTTAGCGCCTGGGATGAGGGAGCCTCCAAATCCCCCTGCAGTTTAACTTCTGCTCATTTCAGGCAAGTGGTCCTTATGACCTCACAGCTTCTTCCCTCCTGGTACCTGCCTTTCTCATCTTGGGCTTAGCCTGAAATTAGTCTTTCTTTCTTTTTTTTCTTTCTTTCTTTCTTTCTTTCTTTCTTTCTTTCTTTCTTTCTTTCTTTCTGTTGTGTTTTGAGACAGAATCACACTTTGTACTTCAGGTTGTCCTTGAACACGCTATGTGTTCAATCTGGCTTCAAATTTGCAGTGATTCTCCTGCCTCAGCCTCCCAAGTGCTGGGATTATAGCTGTATACCACCACACCCAGCCAGTTTTCAACATTTGTAAATCAGTGTCTTCAGCTATACTCACGTGTTCTTCAAAAGGCCCCCATAGGGCTGGGGGTGTAGCTCAGTGATGCTGCTGCCTGCCTCACAAGTGCAAGTACCTGAGTTCAATCCCCAGTACCAAAAAATAAGAACAATTACCAAAATGCCCTCATAACCACTATGATAAAATTTCGTAGAGAGAAGCTAATGAGTATTTTCTCAAGGTTTGAGATCCTAGAAGCCATAGTTTCACTGCCCTTGGCTGCCCAGAAGCGTCAAAGTTTGGGTTTCTCCACCCCTGGCCTCCCAGCCAGGACCTCCACTACTCCCTCGTCCTCTAGGCCTCTTCCCTCAATGCTAACATCTTTACCTGAAGCCACCTGGGTCCTTTCCTTTCTACCTGGTATCCGTCCAGCTGGATGTCCTGCATCTGCCACCACACGAGCTCGTCTTCCCCATGGCCCCTCAAACTGCCAAGAACACCACCCCCGTGCCACAACTCTGCAAGTGTGGGGAAGGGGGACGCAGAGCAGTGGCATGGCATGGCATGGTGCGCCATGGTGCACAACCCTCTCCAGACATTACACAAGGAAGCCCACAGTCCTCCACCGCCTCACTGAAGAGAGGGCCCTTCCACACACCTCTTTCTACATACCAGAAACAGATGGACCTCTTCTGACCACGACTTTTTTCTTCTTGGCAGTACTAGGGATTTAAACCAGGACCTTCACACTGAGTTCTATGCCCAGCACTTTTAAAATTTAATTAAATTGGGGACGGGGATTTAGCTCAGTGGCACAGTGCCTACCTTGAAAGAGCAAGGTCCTGAGTTTGATCCCTGGTACAAAAGCATTTTTTAAATTAATTTACTAATTTCTTCTTTTCTGAGACAGGGTCTCAATGTGTAGTTCAGATTGGCCTTGAACTTACTAGTATGTAGCCTAAACTGGCCTTGAACTCCCATCCATCCTCTTAAATGCTGGAATTACAATCCTGCACCACCACTCCCAGCTCTATTTTATTATTTTGAGAAAGTCTCACTAAATTGCTCAGGCTTGGCTGCAACCTGTGAACCTCCTGCTTTAGCCTTTGGAGTACGGCACCACTCAAGGTTCCATGGCTTCCACTTTTACCTCCTCAGTGCCTCTACTTTGTAAGGTATAGTGACAGCTGCTCACAAAAATGTCTAAGGAAGACTGGCTCAGCAGAAGTGAAGCCTTGGGCAAGAGGTGACAGAGATGCATTCACCAGATGGAAACAACCAGTGGTGTGTACCAAGACTTCCCGCGTGGGGGTCCTACATCTCATAACATGCACACTGTATTTGTTTCCTATTGCTGCTGTAATACATTACCACAATCTCAGAAGCATAAAGGGGCATCCTTTTCAAGTTACACTCCCCACATAAGAGGCCAAGTGGGCCCCGCTCTGGATCTCACAAAGTCCGGAATAGGTATATCCAGGTGAGCTCTTACCTGAAAGTCCCAGAGAGACATCTACTTCCTAGCTTAGGAAGCAGCTTCCTAGTTTTAGGGTGTCAGCAGAATACAGTCCTGTGGTTGTTTTCTTACGGGCAGCTGCAGCCCAGGACTCTCCTGATTCTCCACCCCTCATTTCAACATGTGGGCTACCCCACCTTCAAAGCCTCCAGAACTGCTCTCCTACTGCAAGTCTCTGCCTTTTCTTCTGCCTCTAAGAGCCCTTGTGATTACCTCAAAACTGCCTGAATAAGATCAGTTGATTAGTAACTTCAATTACCACTTTGTTTCTATTTCTTACAGCAGGAGCAGAGCCAGTGAGCACGCAGACAGGCCACAGTGTGGGACTGTCTGATCAGAAACAATCAGACTTGGTGTTTTTTGCTTTGTTTTTCAGTGCTGGGAATGCAACACAGGGCCTTGTACATGCTAGGTGATGGGTCTACCACTGAGCTACATCCCATCCCCTGGACCTGGTTTTACTTTCTTTTTTGAGATGGCATCTATGTTGCCCAGGCTGATCTCAAACTCCTAGGGACACATAATGCTCCCACACTTGCCTCCCCATTGCTGGGACTACAGACATGCACCACCACACTTGGCTGAGACTTGCTCTTTTCTTTTTCTTTTCCAGCACTGGGGACTGAATCCAGTGTCTTTGTACTGAGCTACATTCCCAGCTCTTTATTTATTTTGGGTCAGTGTCTCACTACTTAGCTCAGGCTGGCAACAAACTCATGGCAATCTTCCTGCCTCAGCTGTGGAGTGTCGGGTTTACGGGCATGCACCACCGTGCTTAGCTCTTTTTTTTTTTTTTTAGACAGGGTCTCACTATGTAGTTGAGAATGACCTGGAATTTGCTATGTAGCCCAGGCTGGTCTCAAACTCACAGCGATCCTCCTGCCTCAGCCTGCTGAGTGCTGGGATTACAAGCATGCGCCACCACGCCCAGTCTTTGTTGTTTTGTTTTTTGAGACAGGGTCTCACTATGAAATTGAAACTGACCTGGAACTCACTACCGTAGCCCAGGCTGGTTTTGAACCCACAGCAATCCTCCTGCCTCAGCCTCCCAAGTGCTGGGATTACAGGTGTGGGCCACTACGCCCGCTTCTTTATTTCTCATTTTGAGACAGTATCTCCCTAAATAACTGCACAGCCCAGGCTGAGCTGGAATTTGGGATCTTCCTGCCTTAACCTCCCAGAGTGCTGGGATTACAGGTGGTATCACCATGCCCAGCTAGACTTGGGTTTTGTTTTTGTTTCATTTTGGGTACTGGGGAACTCAGGACCTCATGTTTGCCAGGCAGACACTGTGCCACAGAGCTAAATCTCCAGCCCTAGACCTGGGTTTTAATAAGATTCCCAAATGGCACTTATTTTCCCCTCCTCAACCTTCAAGCACATTAACAATACAGCCACCCAGCAGCTGCCTCAGGTAGGGGACAGGCATCCTTATCTTGTCTTACTCCTGGAAGCAGAGGTGTCAGCCCCATACTGGACTGCATACCTAAAGCAGGGGTGTGAGGTACACCAAGGCCCTGCATCTTCTGATCTTGCAGTCCAGGCCCCTCTGCCCAATTCCAGCCCATTAGTACATTTTTATTTTTATTTTTGGTACAGGGGATCGCAAGGTACTCAGGACCTCATGCTTATAAGGCAGGTGTGATTCTACTGAGCAAAATCCCCAGTCCAATAGTTTTTTGAGACAGGGTTTAGCTGTGTAGTTCAGGCTGGCCTTGAATTCACTATGAATTCAAACTCTGTGATCCTCCTGCTTCAGCCTCCTGAGTGCTGCTATTATCTTTTTTATCTTGGTATGGAGATCCAAACCAGTGCTTCGTGCTTGCTAGGCAGGCGCTGCATCAATGAGCTACATTCATATCACCCAGCGCCTTAGTACCTATGCTCACCGAGAGACCAAGGGGCCACTTAGAAGAACGGATTGGTCAGCCCACCACATAGTGGGTCTGGGTCATGGGGGCTTTGGCCACCACTCCACTTCGTGGGGTGAGGTGTCCACTCTTGCAGGTGGAAGCCCTCCTCTCTCCAGGCAACTCTTCCCAGATTCCTTCTCCTCCAGTGACTTTTGATCTTCGGTTCCTGGCTGCTTACTTTCTGTAATGGGCAGGGCAACATGAAACTTCAAGTTAGAATTTATTTTAGACACGAGCCACTTCTCCAACCCTCAGCTTAGGAGAAGGGCAGAATACATAATGCTGCCCGAGAGGTCAGGCCGGTTCCTTCCTACAGGGAAGAGGGCGGTGTCCCCTCCTCTCTTCTTTACTAGGGAAGGCTCCTGCACAACCGCAGTACGCGACGATGGGTTGCTATGTGGCCCATCCATCACCTCATAGCTGTTTTTCCCTTCCGGCAGAGAAGAGTTCCTTTCTTTATAGTCCCGCCGCGTGCGACCCGGGCTCCCGCTGCTTCGCGTCAAGGCGGAGATACCCGCTTCCACAGGTGTCACCGAGGTTCAAGCCGTGAGACAGAACGGGAGGGCCCCGCCTCTAACCCACCAAGTTTGCGCGCAGTCTCCAGACTGGTCCCGCCTTGGTCACTAGGACGACCCCGGAAACGTCTTCAAGCCCAGAGATTCCTCGCGCCACGGCCGCTCCAAGTTCAGCAACTTTGGTTCCGAGTCTAAAGAGGGCCGGAAGTGCAGCTCGGAGGCGGTGGCAGTTTCGGGGAAACACCGGAAACATGCTTCAGCTCTGCACTCCGCCCGCTCCCCGGCGGCACCGGCTTTGGGTTCCGCACGAGTAGCGGTCCGGAAGTGCGGCCTTCGCCTTGTTGAGAAAGCGGCCACTGGACGCCCTGGTGCCTGAGGAGGAGTCGGAGGTGGGGTCGAACGGGCATTCCCCTGCCGCTAGGCCGGCGGGGAGGCCAGGGAGTGGCGCGGAAGGGGTACCCGACCCGTGCTCCGGCACACACACTGCAGACGCGAGAGGGCGCTGCCCGGTCG